AAAACACTTCAAGTTCCTAAAGCTTGTTCTGGTATAAATTATTTTTAACAAATACCATCAAAAGACCAAAACCAACTATAATTAAATTTTCTAGAAATAAGTACAGTAGTGCCTATGTTCAAAGCTGGTATACTTATTCCTCTGTGCTTATAAAACTATTAAAAACACATCAAGGAGCCACTATTTGAGAAAGCCCTAATTCTTTGAAATGTTAAAATCTTAAAGGTCCAGTATATATAATTAATTAATATTTGTTTTTGTTACCTTAGAATGGCGTTTAGCTCTTTTTGTTCTCCACCGAAACTACTAGCAGCTACTAGTGGCTAACTGTTCTGTCAGACTGTTTTAGTGCTAGGACAGGTGGTGTACAAGTGGGTTTATTAGACGACTTGTATACTAAAAACAGCTCCTGCTGCTGCTGGAGCAATTGTTGAGAGCGGTGAGAGTGAAACCCAAAATAATGAGCTAAAAGACACTAAATTTTGCCATGTAGGACTGAGGGAACTGCACGGTTGGGTAATATTCCTCTGTTGGTTTGTATCACTGTAGTGACCCCTTTTCACATTACATAGTATATTTATCCAGTGTTCACATAACAATAATAAGATTCAGTGCCGCTTTAAAGATCAGCCTTCAGTAGGAACAATGGGCTTGGGAGAGTAGATTACAGTACATGTTGGTTTTAGTCTTTTCAATAGGGCTGTTGCAATAAAACACCGAGCCTATCCTTAAGTAAAATATATCAAATATGAATTGGTATATACACAATCAGTGTTAATATTGGAAAGCTTTGCCTCAGAGACTAGATACCATCTTTTCATTTTTTTTTTTAATTCACTAATTTATTTGTTTTATGTATTTTTTATGTATCTTAATTTTGTCTTGCTTTGTCCTGGCTGTCTGTTGTATATGGCCTGTTCTGGCTGTCTGTCAAGCAACTGTTTTAAGGGTGCTACATAAACAAAGTAGTATTATTATTAAAATTATTATTATTGATTTTGGAAGTGCGTCCAACCATTGTGGTTAAGATGTAAGGAGGAGTCCACTACCCTACCACAACCTCTACCCTAGCCAAAGAGCACTCAAAGCACCCCCTCTTTTTTTGTTGATGTAAATCATGATCCCGCTGGGGCTGGAGCAGGTAGAGTAGAGAGGGTAAGAGAGAGATAGAGTGAAAAGAAAACTACCACCCCCCAGAAAAAAGAGAAATGTAAAAGAAATACTGCATTAGTGAGACAAAGGCAGAGCAGACAGACGTGTGTTCACCTGAAAGAACTGTCTGTGATGTTTGGAAAGAACAACTTGTATTGCTCTAATTCAGCCCTTCTGCAGAGCACCCTGCCCACCCGCCTTACAATACAACCTCACACACGCGCTTTCATACTGCTTCCAGGCAATTAAAATGCAGATGTCAAAGTGCGATAATGGCTGCATTAGGCTAAAACCCGGTCCATGTCTCATCGGATCTATTGACCTTTGGGAAACTCTCACTAAAATCCCCCACTGAATGACAGTAAATATTCACTTATGGCAGTCCTGATGAACAAAATCACTCTTTAAAAGAATTACTTCAATGCAATGGACATTATAGCAGATTGTGTCTGCATCTAAATGATCAAGAGCAGTGATGAATTTTCTTTTAAGACCATCAACCAAATGGGAAATGTATAACGTAGGATGTATTTACAGCGATCATCAATTATTCAAAACTAAAAAATAAATAAATGTTCCCTATTTATAAACAATTAGTTTGGTATATTTCAAGGTTTTCTCATTTCAAAATGAAAATCCATTGCCATGGAGTACACTGACCCAGCTCCCTCACCGCTGAACGGAAGCTGTTCTACAATACAGCTTTCATAAAATATCAAGTGACATTTCACTGAAGACCAAGGGAGTGTGTCTTCCTCTCTGTTCCATCTACATGAGGTCAAAGGCCAGCACTCCTGAGCAACGGGGATCACTGTGGCTGACTCTAAACACGCAGGCTTGTTTCAGCTCACTGTTCCAAAAAAGTCAGCCCAAAGCTTCTACAATCACCATATTACTGCAATGAATATTGTATACAGAACATCCAAAAGGCACACTTACAACCCTCCTTATCTTTCAGCTTATTCGCAAATCCTGCCTCCTTGCTCTGCCCTTTTATTCCAAGATATTAGGGTATTGCTGAGAATTGGGGAACATTTAGGGGAAGCTAAACTTTACAAAAATAGTAACAATCATGCTTTTAACCAACTCTGAATATTTCAGTCTGCAATACCGGAAAAATGATTCATCCCTGGACTTTGTTAATGCTTTGGTTTGCACCGTATCAATGTTCAAACAGACCAAACACATCTGTCACATCACTCAGTTTTAGCCCGTTTGCCCTAATCTAACTTCATTTCAGTCCATTACACTAATTTCTTGAGCTTATTTGAGTGTTGTAACTCATTATGTTCATATTATAAATAATTTTGAAAGTACTTCTAAAGCCCTAGTTGTCATCCACACACATATACATCCATATATATTGTGTTACACTGATATTAAGGCTTTTCAGTAACACCCAGTAATTCCCATCTGGTTAGTCTATCTATATTTTTTATATTTATATTTGCGTCAAGCATCAGATCGACTTTTAATATTGGAAGCTACAGCAATCTGCTCCGCTCTGTTGGTTTCACTCCCACCTGTGCAGAATATTGCACAGTTTAAATTAATGCCAATATGAAAACTGTCAAGCTAAATTACATTCTAGCCTGTGTGACGCAGACTTTACACTCTACAGGAAGATAAAAGTGACATTTCCCATTGCTCAGGCAGAGGAGATCAGCACATCCTTACGACTCCAACTTTGCATACAGTAAACATGTTTATCACCATGATGGCCTTCATGAAGGCTCTTATACTAAAGCTTCTTTGGCTCAGTGAGAAAGAATGGCACTTAACAATCGGTGTATGATCTCTGGAAATGAATAATCAAATTCTCTCTCTTTCTTTATAATTCTCTCTCTCTCTCTCCACACCACACATACACACAATATACTGCATGCATCATCCACAGCATCCATGTCTTCTTCCCGAACATCTGCGGTTCTTTCACCTAATTGCCTACAGTGAGGTTTTATGAGACAGACTCTCTTCCCAGCTAACCTCTGTTACCACGGAAACAGCGTCATATACCCCTCACCCACCTCAAACACACATACATCCTCATCACCATCACGTGCACATGTGCATGTATAATTCTACAACTATGGTTGTTTCACTCCACTGGTTGTGTCCTCACATACACACATGAAGGCATTAAGTAATGCTCTCAGTGATGTACAGTAAACAGGAAACAGATGCCATGAAGTCACAGGAGGATCAGATGAAATATAATATTGCTCTTGGTTTGTACTCTACATGTTTGTTAAAGCTACTCTGTGTTTACTTTGTGATTTTTTTTCCATTTTGAAGGCATTCATCCCAAATCCCCAAACCCTAAACCTAAGTGTGATATTTTAAAAAAGTGTTTGCAAGGTGTTTTTTGCCTTTTCCAAAACACAAACACAATAGTGTAAGGCAGTGGTTCCCAACCTTTTTTTCTTAAGGGACCCCTTTTCTGTCATTGAGTAAACTGACAACCACTGACTGTATTTTATTAAATTTCATGTATATGTTATACTACTACAAATAGTGAACTCAGTAACTGTAAACTGCAGTTTGTGTAAAAAGTGATTTGGATTCATTTTGAGCAGATTATTTCCTTTCTATATAATTCTCTGTCTGTATTTTGTGTTTTAAACAAACTTAATATGTTTCTTTTTTGACAGATTCAGTGATTTCTTGTCCCTGGCATTGGCCATTGTTTACTGTAATATGATTTTAACTTAAAAAATCTTGATTCACTTAAAGACAAAAACTTGGTTTTACAGAAACATTTTTAATTAAGTACTTCTTACTAAGTATTTTGTTTTCACAAAATTACAAAATTAAGTTAGTGTGACTTGGATGGATTAAACAGTGTGATTATCTGCTCTAATGTAGGCTGCTAACGTAAGCATGCACGGCTAATATACAATCTGACAGTATTAACTAAGTGCATTGTTTTGTGTGGTTAGTATGCTTAAACGTGCTAATTAGCACTAAAGACCAAGTACAAGTGATGCTAAAAATAATAAAGCTTAATTAGTAAGTGGTATCCATATTATATCACCAGCAAGATATGCATTAACTACCTGTTTACTGCTAGTCACATCTCCTATGCTGCGCATCATCTTTCATTATTTCAGCATGCACATACACTTTATTAGGTTAGGGGTTAGAAATAATAGATATAAAAAATAGAAAATATTTGGCTTAGTTTTCGAGAACATTTTTAGGGTGGTAGCAGGTTTACGGTTTTCATTAATTAAAACCCTGTTTGTTTTTACACAGGCTCCAACAAGCCTTGAACATCACAGTGCTCTACCTTTTTATCACTGACTAAACATTAGGATCTCTTAAGCATCATTTTTCTTTCCAATGCTGCACCGACTTTCCTCTCAAGAGAGAGAATAACACAATGAAGTTATTACTGACGCCTGAGTAGAGTTGATATGAAAATTCAGAGGATGATTGTTGTTGCAGTATCCATATTTTATTCACAACTGAGCTGTGACACATTTTCAAGAGTTTCTGCAATCCTTCTAAATAGTAATACTGAGATCAAAGGCAGGCTATAAAACCTGTAACTGTTGAGAAAAGCTGCTCCAGCCTCTTAACTATAATCCTTTCCTCTTTCTCCCTGCTTCCACTTCTTTCAGCCTTTATCCTTCTTTCTTTCTTTGTCTTGCTTGTAGAAAAGGGTCGATATACATTTTTTGCCTATATAGTAAATGGTGGAGAGTTGACAGAAAATGGAGTGTGTATGACATGCAGTATTTAATGCATTGTGGTTCATGGTCGGTTCATTCACCCATAGGCAACCGGGGTGCCCCTGCATTTGACATTCAATGGAAATTTAATACAAGCCCACATCTAGATGTCTAGCCAAGACCACTCCTCATAGTCTACTGACATCAAATACCATCAAAATATTCTTGACAAGACCCCCTTTGAGCCGCAATGATCATGACAGAATGAGGTCAAAATTTTGACATCTTTTCAAGGAATTTTTGAACATCCATGGTTCTTGACAGGCTCACTCACACTTGGCCAAGACCCAGTCTTATCATCTATGGAAATTTGAAACAGCAACAATACGTAAAGGTCTTTGTAAGATGACTTTTGAGCATCAATAAATGTTCATTTGATGCTCACAATTAGACGTCTTGTTAAAACAACCTCTGAATATCAGAAGACGTTATCAGGTCAAAATTTATGTTTTTTAAAGGCCACTTTTGAATGTCAATGTTGAGTTAACAACAAGTTTACTATTAGATATCCAGCCCAGACAACTTCGAACATACAGAAATCAATTTCATTCCAATGACAGGATAAACGAACGACCACGAACATGGATTTATAAAAGTAAACCCCAATTTACATTGTTGCCCAGCACTGTGCAGAAATGTACACCGAATCTCTGACTTTTTTTGGAATTTGGGAGGTGTGCATCCGCTCTAACACTTTTCTCTGAGAGTGATGTCATTAAATGTGTTGTTTTGTCAGTCTAAAATCCAAAGATGTTCAGAGAGAAGCAGGAGCATTTTCTGCCATTTTTGCATGAAAAATTACTTTAACAATTAATCAGTTCTCAAAGTAACCCCCAGTATTGTATTAATCACTGCAGCTCTAATCATCCAATACTGATGTTCTTGTCTGAAGGCAAGGTTGAACGGGCTCACTAGTACACGTCTTGTTAAGACCAGTTCTGAACATCAGCAGACATTCACAACACGATCAACATTGAATGGTTTGGTCAAGACCACTAAAATGACCCATAATAGCCACTCAGACTGGATTTCAGCATGAAAACTTCTTTCTTGAGAGGACAGAGAACAGCTCGGCTCTGGCTCTGGCTCATTAACTATGTGTCACAGTTGGAGGACATTGTGTGCGTGCAGACGGTGGGTACCTCAGTGTGACTTTTCTAAGTGGGTTTACAAATGAAAGACCATGGCCTATAGAAGATGAAGTATTGACTCATGGACCTGCTGACTAACTTGGATGCTTCTGAATGCTGCCTTTCATTTATTTCATTGTCTTGAAGGTTATCTCCTCCAGCTTGTGAGTCACACCATAATAGCGGAACACTGCCAAGCTCTTGTTAAAAGATAATATTATTTGTGCTGTTTGGAAGCAGAAGTGTCCACCGTGACGCAGGCGCTGACTCACAAAATTATAAAATGACTGCGAGGGCTGATTCTGATACCAATATAGTTTGTATTAAACCTGACTTTCCTGCAGACAATCCTGGTCGGAGACAGCGGAGTGGGGAAGACGTCTCTGTTGGTGCAGTTCGATCAAGGAAAGTTCATCCCCGGCTCCTTCTCTGCTACAGTGGGCATTGGATTCACGGTGTGTATGCATGCACAATTAGTGTGTGTATATCTTTTACACACAGGACATTCTCTTGTTGAAATTAAGTAGGACAAATCACACATGTCAGTTCAGCCAAAATAAAGCCATGTTTTCTCATTTACCTCAAGTGAATATGTTTTTTTGCTTTAAGTGGCCCAGTTTTTGAGCTATCTGTACGATATTTCTGCCTTCACCCCTCTACAATGGAAGTATGGAAGTAATTCCACAACACTGCTAAAAAATCTCAAAAGCAACAGGCCTTTACGGATATAGTTGATAGATGGTAGATAGATGATTCACAGAACACTTGGTAAACAGAATTACACCAACTTAATTACATAATTAAGTCCTTCAAGCTAAATATAGGACGAGCTGACGTCACGGTCACTGGCCAACTGCCAACCTGTTCTCTATGATATAAATCTAATGAGCTATTGGTATTACCAAAGAACAATGCATGCTCTGGCATTAAACTACTTTGTTGTGCACCGGCATAGTGGCTAATCAGAGTTGAGCCTGTCACTTATTGCCCCATGTGAGTGAGTTCTATTTCCTTGGCCCAGGGGTAACATGTTTGACTCTTAGCCCATGTACCGGACTCTTTAACTCCCAGCAACACAATGTCCTGGTGGTAATACTAGCTGTTCTTCCATCTTCAGCCAGCCAGCTCTTCTCTTGATGGGAAGTTCAGATTTTATTTTAGATGCAAAATGGTGGCTAGCGTAGTTCAGATTTGTTTCACAGTCCAAAACAACAAATGTTTAATCGTCAAACATAACCCTGGTTGCTCTATTGGCGTCAATCTTAACTAACAAATGGCTAAATGAGACCACAGAGGTCAACGGCAGCATCCCGAATATGGAGGCTTATCTTCTCTCTAGCCCGCCTTTACCCCTTGTTCTGTTCATACTTTTATTCAAACTCAGCTTTGCAACAAGTGGTGGTGATGTTGAAATCATCAATCAAAAAGAAAAAAGGAACCAGGACTTGCTAACTTCCAGGTTGGCCTACAAAAAACAAAAAAAAATCCCTGCAGCACTCTATACTTCCTCAGAGGAGGTTAAATAAAAGTGGATGTTGACACACAGATAATGAGCTATGATAGCTCTCTTGACCTTGACTTTTGATCAGCTTTTAGTATCCTCAGAGGTCAGCACTGTCAAGACAGTGTGCTATTAATGAACACTGCAACTTCCCATTTCAGAGTTCACAGAAGTTTAACTCAAAGCAAAAGATTTGGAAGGGTTGCAGTGATTCCACTGAAATTACTTGATACTGCCATCATTTTTGCTATTCCAAATGCTGATGTGACCGGGCCGAACAAACTAAAAGACTTAGTAGTTCCAAAGATGACAGTAAGGTGTGTGGATTAGTAACAAGGACACTGATTCTTGTATTGGAGTGGAGGCAGAATTCTCAAAACCTGGAGAAATACAGGAAAATCAATCTGAAAGTTACTGAGAAGACATGTTTGTTATTTTGTAATTCTGACAAATTGTTCCTTTAATCAGCCTTTAATATGAGTAGCTAGTGGCCTTTCCAACATCAGTTGTGTTTCTCCTCCTCTCAGAATAAAGTGGTGACTGTTGACGACGTAAAGGTCAAACTACAGGTCAGTAAGTGAATCAGTTCAAGATAAAACTTGATGTGCTTTCACAATAGAAGACCTATTTTTAGAGCACAGGCTGGTTTTCTCTTGGGCACCAGTGTTATAACTGAAAATTAGAGTTAGTCAAGTGGAACCAGGCCAAGTCTCCATGTACAGCTTCTTTTTCTTTCTCTGCTTCAGATTTGGGACACGGCGGGACAGGAAAGGTTCAGAAGTGTGACACATGCTTATTACAGAGATGCACATGGTAAGGCAAATATACAACGTCATTAACATCTGACTCTCAGATATACTTTTATCCTGTTACTGCAGTAGAGATGTGCAGCAATGGAACCGTGTGTTCATTCATCTTTTTTGTTGGTTCTATCTCCACAGCTTTGCTCCTCCTGTATGACATCACCAGCAAAACCTCCTTTGACAACATTCGGGTAAGTCTGGGATATGTCTCGCGCCAAAGTATGTAATAGACCAGCCAATCCACTAGAGCAGGGCTGTCCAAAATGGGGCCCGTTGGCCAGTGCCTGAATTGGACCAAAGAGGTGCCAGTACCCTAATTTAGCACAACCCTAAACACAACATAACCGTAATCCTAACTCTTTTGGCATTTTTTATTCTTTTTAACCAGGACATTTTCAGTGCTGTTTTCTTAGCATAAAGCTATCTGCATGTTTACACAGCGACGACAACAGCCTCACCTAGTCATGAAAAGCACTTGTGTATGAAGGTGCGGTATAGGTCAGACAAACACAGGACTTTCACCCATGAGACCGCTGTTTGTGTCCTGTGTGAGACCAAAATCTTATTTTAAGTTATACGTATGTGTGTTAACTTACGTAATGTACTTAACTTACGTCAGGTATATTATCTTTTCCTAAACCAAGCAGTTTTGCATTAATGATAATCAAACAGCAAGCTTTATTTTGGAAGTGTAACAGGACGTTGCATATTTATTATCGCTCATTTGGCCATGGAACAAGAATGCGTTGAAAACGTGACACTGCCACGCCTAGGTGAGGCAAAACGTTACGCTACCATGGTGGACCAGCGTGTGTATTACATGCTTTGGCTTGATACATGGTTGGATATGTCTACTGCCTGGAGAGATATGGAATAAAGCTCCTGGATCAGTTATACAAAGTGTTGGCACTCATGTACGTCTGTGTGTGTGTGTGTTATTAACCTGCCTTCAGGTTTCAGCCTAATACAAACACACTTTCTCTCAGTTTTTGTTGGACTGTCTGTATATTTATGCATCTGTCTGTCTATCTGGTTTTAGGCATGGTTAACAGAAGTCCATGAGTATGCACAGAGCGATGTAGTCATCATGTTGCTGGGCAACAAGGTGAGTGGGAATAGACTGTGCAGCTCAGCAAGTGAAAAGAGAAAGTGAAGAAATGAAGAAAATGAAAAGGGATGTGATCTTTAGTGAAACCTGTTACTGTTTTGATTTATTCTCAATGCTTTCATCAACCTCACCAACTGTAGGAGCAGCTGTTTCCGGAGAAAAGTTTTTTATAAACCTATTGTACACTACCTGCTCAGCTACCTGCTCAGCAGACACAGTTAGCTGGTTGCTTTAGTGGAGCTTTTAGCAGCTAAACAGCCAGATATTTCTCTGTTTCTCAGGAGATCAGATCCAGAGGGATCTAGAGGGAGAGTGACTATTGGACAAATAAAAGCTAATGTTGCTCAGTGTCTGCTGGGCGTGTTCAAGCATTCTTTCCCAACATGTGGCTTGTTCCACTGCCCCCAAGTTGCTTATAAAATCTATCTGGACTGCTTTAGCTAACATTATTTGTAATTTTTATCTTGGTTACAATCAGCTGCTACCTACAGGCCTCCACTTCAAACTCCCCCATTTGATGATAAATGAAACTGCTGTTTAGCTCAAGGACTGGCTCCTTAATTCTAAAGTTTCCTGCTGGACGCAAGATTCCTTCTACCTCACTGTAATAATGCAAATCATGCTGGTAGGCCACGCCCCTTAAAATCAGCTTTTTAATGAGTACAGAGAAAATTTCCACTTTCAGCAGATAAATGTGAAAACATCCCTCTAGTGTCCAACTCTGCACATACAGCATTCAAACAGCACACTCTAGCGACAAGATGAAACTGATTTCTGACTGGAGGGGGGGCTTTAAGTAACATAGCCATGTCCCAGCAATAGGCAAGGAAGATGTAAAGGCCGATGTATGAATGTAAACAGTGCAGGTTTGAATAATATTCCAAAACATATCTCTGTAGATGTATTATGAGGAATTATAATAAATGAATACTGTTTACAAGAAAACTCCACAGGTACACTTTGAAATGTATGTTAAAAAGTGACACCATGTTTATTTTTACACTAATCATCCTGTAAGAATTTTGAGGGCTAAAAATAAAAATAAATTAAAAAGCAAAAAAAGCACAGTAAATAGTATATTATTGATGACTAACGTAAGTGCATTTGTTTACTAGCATCCTATTCTAACCATACTGCACTGTGTCTCTCTGTCAGGCTGACATGAGCAGTGACAGAGCGATCAGGAGAGATGAAGGAGAGAGGCTGGCCAGAGTGAGTATTTCATTCACTGCTCTACAACCACAACTGATGTGCTGTACCCTGCTGCTCACTGTTTTTTGCTCGTCTTCACGTCTTTAGGAGTATTCAGTTCCGTTCATGGAGACGAGTGCCAAGACTGGAGTCAACGTAGAGCTGGCCTTCACTGCTGTGGCCAAGTATGAAACTATTATTTGACTTGTTTAAACCCACCTGCCTGTCTTAGCTTAGGTTTAGGGTATACCGGTATGGTAGGGTATGGTATGGTATTGTTAATCTATGTAATAACTCATAACTGATTGATTTAATTAAATAATAAAATATTAAAATAATTAATTTCTTAACTGTTAGATGCACCTCATTGATCCAGAAAGAATAAACCCTTACAAAAATATCACAAAAGCCATCCGATAATTTATTTCTTAAAAGGCCCTTTAATTTTCAATTCATGCTGTAATGCTATAATGCTATTTTGTAAATTTTAAGTGGATATAATTCATAAATTGACCTCAAATTTGGAGTGAACTCTTGAATTTGCATTTTGTCCTTATTTTAATGAGATTTTTCAATAATACAGTACAAATAAAGGGCTTTTTTAAATGGGCTATATATACCAAAATAATGACTATTTTAAACCCCAGTCCAAATGATAACATTTATTTCTTTAAGTAAAACAAGTTTTTATTGATACAGTTAATATGAAGAATATTATGCAAAAAAGCATCATACGTGACCGTTTATTACAAATAATACATTTCACATGATTCATATAATTATTTTGATTTACATCTGATATACTGATCATATAATGTGCAACAATCTAATTCATTTAATTCATTCACTCATTCACTTACATCATCCAGACTTATCAGTCAAACTCGCCTCCTATTAAACTGCTGAACTGTTAAGACTGAACCACTCCTCATTCTCCTCATAGTTGTTCCATGTTACTGCTTCCATGGCAGAAAAAGGCAAGTGTTCAGCGCTTGCCACGTAATTTTTTTCTTCCCACCATGTAGAATCCTCTAAAATGGTAATAAATAAAATCTGTGGTCAGCAGCTCAGCAGGCATGGTGCTGCAGCAGACACAGCAAGCTTCACAGATGATTAAGTAAAATTTGCCCCATGCTTCATAATTTACTATGCCATCCAAATAATAAAAAAATCACCAATGTAGTCATTTAAGAAAGACAATCTAAGAAAAGTCCATCGGTACTGTTTTCTAAACTGTGTGGTTCTGTTCTTCAGGGAACTGAAGCACCGGGCCGTGCAGCATCCCAATGAACCCAAGTTCCAGATTCATGAGTACATTGAAGCACAGAAGGAGAAGTCCGGCTGCTGCAGCTACTTCTAAATCTCCTCTCCTGAGTCCTCCTCCCACCGCTCTGGGTGAACAGACTGTCAGAGACACACCGAGAGCTACCGAGTGGGAGAAAAGCCCTATTATCTCACTGCTGCTCCCAAAATATGACGCTGCCATTCCTTCAACACTAAAAGCCAAAAGTAGATCAGTGGAGTGAGAGGAGGAGAAACTGAGCTACAGACTCACAAAACCCACAGTTTTATTTAGCCAAGAACAGTTTACCCAATTGTTTTCAGACTGGCATTTATGATTACAGTATGAGCAACTGATTTGTAGTAAAAGTTTTAGAAGATAGAAAATGATTGAAATTCTATGAGAAAATAACCTTGTTTTATTTGTGACAGTTAGATGAGAAGATCAATACCACTCTTGTGTGTGTTAAGTATGGTGCTGAATTAGGAAGTGTTTAGCCTAGCTTAGCATTTAGACTGGAGGCGGGAGGAAACAGCTAGCCTGGTTCTGTCCAAAGGTAAAAAAGATGCTTACTAGAGATTTAAGCCATACTATATCATACTGCTTGTTAACTTTTCTGAACAATAACAAACACACAGCCATTTATGGTTCTTTTTTTGGGTTGTAATTTATTCATATATTTTGGCCTACCCTGTTATATTTCATGTTTATGCTGTACTATTTTTCTACTAACTACTACATATAGGTTTCTGCCTCTTAAAAGTTAGTTTTTCTTTGCCGCCCGTCATGGTGGGAACTGTTGGGTCTCTGTAAATAATTTTATAAGGAGTATGGTCTAGACCTGCTCTATTTGAAAATTGTACTAACTTTTGTTATAATTTGGAGCTATACAAATAAAATTTAATTGAATTGTAACTTCTTAAAGACTGTGCAGCCTTGGACAGGGTCTTCACTGATGTCCCTTACAGAGCTTATGTCGTCTGAGCTAGTTTTGTCATTCTCACGCCCCAGTTCTGCTTTTTAAACAATCAGATTCATAAATGGCACAAAAACACGTTTCACATCAGCAGCAGCCTCAGGTACATCCTCATGTCCTGCCAATATCAAAGAAAATGCTGCTCTGCACTAAATCTGACTGTTACTGTGACAGCAAGCTATAAACAAATGTTTCCTACATTGTGTCTGTATTTACTCAAAGTAACAGTGAAATTAATGAACTAAATGGGGGGTAATTAAGACCCAGGTTGCTAAAGACCTCAGGTATGCATTTAAGGGTTCACCTGTACACTAAAAGAAATACAATATAAACACTCTGCAGCAGCTCAAATTCAAAAACAAAACAAATTCAAATGTTGACCTGATGATGGCATTAGATGGAAAGTTAAGGGATCATGAAAGTTATTACAATTCGTCTTTACAAACAGGACTGTCAACACCAAATTTATTGACAATCAATCCAAATGTTGTCAAGACTAAAAAACAGAACCGTCGACCTCATGGTGGCGCTAGTGATTTCATGGTAACCCATCCAATTGAGCTATTTCAGTCTGGACCAATGTGGTAGACTGACAGACTGACCAATATAGCCATACCTAGAGCTATCTTGCTAGCATGGCTAAAGCAACAATTTTATGATTTATGTTTCAGCTATCGAATGCTTAGCTCAGCATGCTAAGCTAGACTACCCACAGCCCGACTGAACCTCCTTACTTAATGCAGACACATGAGATTGAAATTGATCTTCTCATCTAACTTTTAGAAAGAAAGGGAATATGCATATTTTCCAATTTTTTTTCTTAAAGGAATTTTTATAATTCATGCTTCTTTGAACAATATTTTTTCTAATATATCTTTGGCCATTTGCCTTACATAGATCTCTGACTGGAAATAGTTTTATACCTACATTTTAATTGACCACTAAATCCTTGCTGATGGAAGTACAAGGATGTTACAAACACCAATTTTATTGTAAAAACTACATACAACCACACACCATTAATAGAAGCCAGAAGAGAACACAGCAGAGTTATAGAAGTTGTGGATCCACTTAGAAAAATCAACATTGCTACAACCTTATGTGTCATACAATCTACTGACAGATCTAGACAAAGGCCATACACTGTGTCATGGATGCAATTCAAAGCCAAGTCCGTGGACAAAAGCCCTGTTTGTTTGACTTAGTCAGACTGGTTCATTCTTGACAAACTGCTCTCGAAGTGACTGTCAGCTGCTGCTTAACGCTCGCTGACTCAAGAAAAGCTCAGGGACACAGCTGGAGAATAAGCTAATGTACTCTGAGCGCCTGGCGAGGACGACTGCAAGACAACTCTATTTCTGAACATGCAGGAACGCATTTATGTGTTTTGGTCACCTGAAATGTGTCTCTACAGGAGGAATGCTGCAAAAGACCAAACATAACATAAACTTGCCAATGATCTGTGGTTGGATTTCCAATTTTATCTTTAATGTAGGGAACATCTATGTACATACTGAATTTGTGAGTGAGCAGATTTTTCGAAAACAGTTTTCTGACATGTTGGCTGCACTAATTTTCCTCCCTAAAAAACAATATTTTGCTTTTATGGCCTGATTTTAATGCTCAGTTGCATGTTTGCTGGATTGCATGAACCAAATCTGTGCGCAGTGCCTCCAGAATGTATTAAAGTTGGTTTATATTTGTATCAAGATTAACAGAAAAATATGAACAAATAATTAGCAGTTCTCTTCAGATTTTAACTCAGCACTCAGGGTTAAATTTTGATTTGAAATACGAGATCTAGATATATGTATGTATATCAAAACATTAAAGCTGCATAAATTGATTCATAAAAAGACATTTGCCACTAGGGGGCAGCAGAACAAGTGGTTTTTGGCCACCAAATAAATGTATTATTTACTCTTTAAAGGCTAAATGCCACGCTTTGTTTATCAGCTAGTTGCTAACTTTGTCTGACACTTGTCGTACGGCAGGTATGGTGAGGTTTATCAGAATATTTTAACTAAGCTCAGTTTTAAATACTTAAAGGTCCAGTGTGTAACATTTAGGAGGATCTATTGGCAGAAATGGAATATAATATTCATAGGTATGTTTTCATTAGTGTTTAATCACCTGAGAACTGTTATGTTTTTGTTACCTTAGAATGAGACGTTTTTTATCTACAGAAGGGAGCGCGGGTCCTCTTCACGGGAGTCTGCCATGTTAAACCGCAATATTTCTACAGCAGGCCAGAATGACAAACCAAACACTGGTATAGCTAATGGCGTTGGAAGGCCGAGCGTAATCAAATGGTGGATGCAACTTCACGGCTAGATGCCACTAAATCCTACACACTGGTCCTTTAAGGACAAGCTAAAATGCTACATAGAGCCTAAGGAGAACTGCAGAGTTGGATAGTAATTCTCTGTGGGTTTGTCATTACGGGCAACACCTTTTTAACATTGCACATAATCATTGATCCATTGGGTAATATTAAACATATTGATTAGTGCAACTCTAAGGAACCAATGATGTCAGAACAACAGCTCCATGTTCAGGTTTTACTGTAACACAAACAAGTCTATAAACTTGCGTTTGACAACAGTATATAATATTTTATATTAGTCAGTTACGGGATGCTCTGACTCAGCACAGCTCAGGTCTGACACATAATCTAAAATTATACATATTGTGAACATTAGACCTTGTATATAATGAGCAGTTGTTTGTTGTCAGACCACACTGCCAATAGCTGTCTTTGATGTGCTGTATGCTGCATAAAAAATAAACTATTTTTAACTGAGCACACTTTATATGAAGTCTCCCCTGCAGTCACCCACCATCATGGTGGGGGTGTTAACTGTAGGGCCAGAAGGTTGCCAAATGTGTATGTGTGTATCTTGTGAGGGAGAGAGAGGAGAGAGAGAGAGAAGAGAGAGAGAGAGAGGAGGAGAGGGAGAGAGAGAGATAGAGTGCCATCAGTGAAATACAGACAAACCAATGGACAAACAATGCATGTGGGGCTTTCCAGTCCCTGTTCCAGTGAATTCCTCTAATATCTTCGGCTGGTTTTATACCTCACTCATTAAACAATCATAAAACGTGTCCTTATCAACATTTAATGTGTATTAAAGCAGTATGGTTATAAACCTACAGGAATAAATAGAAACTTCCTATTTGCAGGTCAAGCCTTCAAAATAAAAGTGCAAGCATTGCAGGCCACGTAATAGCATGTGGTATTACTATTTGCTCTCTTGTCTTGAGAAGCCATATGAAGTTGTGACAAATCGTACTGCAATTTGTGGTCGTTGAAAGTTGTTGAAAAAGTTACGATAGCTCAACGATCTTTCACAGAAACCCTTCAGCCACCAGAGGTTTTAAAGATGATAGAAAGATAATGAACTTATTTAAAAATGAACTATCTTTCATTCATATATGTTGGTCACACCTACAGTATCCTGTACAGTGACAGCCTTGTAGGAAAAAGTAACCAAAGAAAAGATTACATTAAAATTACATCAATAACCCAAAGAACAGTTAACCATAAGTCCAACCACAAACCTGAAAATTCAATTTTTATTTATTTATTTGGAGATTTATTTCATATTGAATTATTTCACCTGTTCAGTTATTTATTTTTTGTTATTTTGTTTATTCATTTTCTTCTACATGACGCTCTAAAAGCCCATTTCTGAGTCTCTTCTCTGACAGGAATTAATTCTGATGGGGAAATGTGTTTTAAATTGTTGTATTTATTCTGTTAGCATAGGTAGCCTATTTCTTCAATGTTCTTAGCCTGAAAATGTTTAAATGGGTCTAAATGATATTGATATAGAACACACGCTAAATAAGTGTAGTTGGGTTACCCATATTCTCAGACAGTCCTGATTGCGAAGTTAAATCTCAAGTCTGAAAAGTATTAGCTTTTATTTTGAAAATCTGATGGCACGTGTTAAGGCCTTTGCGGCGGCTTGACTCTGGTACCTCCGCTGAGCACGAGACGCTCTCGGATTGGATGTGAAAAGAAGATTGCAACATAGCATTTGGTAGGGGAGGACCCGTGAACCCGGCGGTAGGAGTGAAAACGCAACAGCGGAAAGTTTACTGTGAGACAGGTCAGCGGAAGTGGAGCTCTAGTGAAGTCAGTGTGCGCAACAGGTGTTAGTTCTTCGTATGGTTGTTGTGTGACTCCTTTTTTTAAAGCTACGAAGTGGTTTGGATAGTGAGAGTAAAAGTTTTTTTCTCGGTTAGAAGAGTAACAACATGTCAAATCTCCGACCCCGACTGTGTGTGCTGGAGAAAGGATCCAGCGGCTACGGGTTCCACCTGCACGGAGAGAAGGGCAAGACGGGGCAGTTTATCAGGCTCGTGGAGCCGAACACCCCGCCTCTACAGCGGGACTCTTCGCGGGCGACCGTCTGGTATTCGTGAATGGAGAGAGCGTAGAGGGCGAGAGCCATCAGCAAGTGGTGGCCAGGATACGGGCCACCATCGGGGCTCTAGAGCTTATAGTGGTGGACGCCGAAACGACTGAGCTTCTGATGAAACACAACCTGCAGTGTCGGAAAGAGTTCGTCACGGAGGGGATTCCCCTGCCCGGCGGGGACAGCGACTCAGACCGCGGGGACGCACAGAGCAACGGCACCCCGAGGGAGTCCAGCCCTGTCCCGCGGGAGAACGGGGATGCCTCGTCGGAGAGGTCGGACAGGCTGAGTGTTAGCTCCAGCTCCAAGGTACAGCACACAGCAGCTCACTGTAACACCAGACCACTTCTTTAACTCAAAATCACGTTGAACCTGATTACAACAAAAGTTTTAAGTGAGCGAAGCCAAATTTGTAAGTTAAAAAAACATTCTTTATGAAGTAGCTTTAGTTATTTGACTGACTTAAGTTGTACTGTGAAAACAAAATACCTAGTAAAAAGTACTTACTAAGTCATTTCTGTAACTTACAAAACAAAGTTAGTTGTCAGTTCAAATTATTAGTAAAAGCTGCTTAAGCAAGAATCATATTTAACCTACAACATTTTTTGTTTGTGGTAAATACAATGTCAGATGTAAAATAGCGTATCACATTACAGTGAGTATACTATAGACTTATATTATGTTTTATGAGCAAACATATCATGATGATAATAAACCATGGCAACTGTCAGGTTAAAATGTCAGCTGTTGACCTCTTGAACCTGTCAGTAGTAGTGGGCAATATGGATCACATCCTTTATCATTTAATCAAGATATCAATATATACAGTATTATAATAGAGTAAAACGTCAGTTGAGCAACTTGATTGTGGCGGTTTGGATCAGTGTGTGTTTGTAAAACACCCTCACCTTTACTTTTATGTTACATCACTTACATTTGTTGTACCCACAAGCAGTTTCTTAGGTAAGCAACAACTTGTTGACAAAATAAACAGGTAGAAATGTCTATTTTTGGCTAATCCAACAAGTTAGGTACATTGTAAATAAAGGTATTTTATCATGCAAAAATCATATACTAAAACAATATTACCATAAAACATTCACAATGCCCCATACATCCAGAGATGTTACAGGGATAGCTACCACGGTAAATCCAACAGTATGGCAGTGTGTGAAAGGTTCTCCGCCTCTTTAAAAGACATGCCATCCCATATTAAGACGCTATAGGATTCAGACTAACTTCATACATCGACCAAAACAGCGGTGCCCCTGGCTTACATCCCCCTATCTGATCTGAGGCCAGCCCTGCCTCTGAGCCGCAAAGGTTATGTGGAAATAGATCCCCTATTAAGTAGCCACTTCCAGTGCCAGTGAAAGGCTATAAGCTAAGACAGAGAGGTGACACAGCAGAGGGAAACGTGCCAGGCCTCTACTCATTCCTGTTGAACAGAGCCTTTGTCATAGAAATGTCTGTCAGTCTCTCCGCTTCCCGTCTTGAATTCCCCGTCAGGTTTGGCTTGTCAGACCGGGAGCTTTGTCACAGTGTCCGTGAGACGGAGCATCTTTTTTACTTTGAATGCTATAATTATTATGTGATAGGGTTCTGACAGATGTGAACTGACATTGTGTGTGGGCATTAAAGGCACTAGTTTTACCCCGAGCGTCTAGACTTTTAGTGTTGCATGAAGGTGTTTCTCATTTTCTGAATGAGCTTTGTTGATAGTACTCACAAAAAGAGCTAGATTAACAACAATAATGGTTTGACGCCCTGTCTAGGACTTTTAGACCTTCCACCACATCAAAATTTGAAGTACTCTGCATGCATTTCTTTTCTTGGATTAGCATAATCCATCCTCTTTGAAACACCAGGCTTTTGTTGTCCGTTATGACACACTTTTATGAGGTTATTCTTCAAAATGCTCCACAAACATGGTTCGATTTAGGCTACTTAACTGTGTTAGCCAGTGCAACGTCTGGGTCCTGATTTAAATGTTGTGTAACGTCAGTGCAAAAGGGCTTCATTGTGGAGGTGTTCAGCAGTGTGGAGCTCTGAGAATGGGCAAGGGGTTTTTATTTAGGACTCAGAAATAATGGGATACTTGGGTATTTTTAGACTTGGCCCCCTTAGTAGGTGGGACTCAACGATCAGTACTAAACCACATGAAGGTTCCTGTAGTGACTGAGTGGCTGGAGTCCTCCTCATACTTGAATATGGGTAGGTTTTCATTAGGGCCGGGACTAATGCTTATTTTTTATTATTGGTAATAAATAAATTGATAAGCACTGAAAGGGGGATGAACCATATATCGGCCAAGCATTGCTACTGGCTGATATTTTACTTGTTGATTCGTTAACAGATAACATGACATTCACCGATATCAGTGGCCAATGTTTATTTGTTGTATCACATTACAAACAGTCACCTCTGTTTTCCAGCACTGGCACAAATTGCACACAAATACCGGACAATGAACGACTGTTCCGCTCTGCATCTCACATCTCAGATGGAAAGAAAAATGCATGGCAGAGACACTTATTTTTATTATTTTCCTCTTTTTCTAGCACAAACAAATATGTGCATTGGCCCAGAACATCCCAATCGGTGGATCCCTAGTTGGCAGACTCATGCACAGTGGCCTCACGTGTTTCTGTTACAACTGTACAATGCTAATTATTTGCAGATGGCTTATATACAGATAACAAAATGTATGCAAGTCTCTTTCTAAGCCTGTAACAAATAGTTGGAGTCTTTGTTGTTAACGTTGGTGTTCAAATTCTAAATCAGTATTCAAATGTTTCGCAGGTCGGGACGCTATAAAAAAATGTAGCAACCAGGTTACATTGCTGACTCCATTTGCATTCACACAGAATCTGCCATTGTGGCATACTTCCTGCAGGGTTGTGTGTAGGTGTGGCCATGTTTATTTGTACATTTGTACGTTTTATTTGTACATGACAAATGACCTTTTATTCCTCCGATTCACTGCTCTGTTCCTGGTAGCTCCCTCACTTCATTCTCTCTCTAGGTCGCTTGACCACCACTGGCTCTTTCTCTCTTTCTGCGTGGGGCCAACTTTAAAGCGTATTTTTACAAACGGCAACCAATAAATCTTCCTCATACTGTCTTTACAGACGAACTCATTTCATTTGATGAACCACTTAGTTCAAATTGAGGATTTTGTTTGAGGATTTAAATAGTATTGTAGGTGATGGCATCATTTCAAAGTTAAGCTGCAAGTCTTTTTGGATTGCTCCGATTCATACTCAGACTTCCAACTCGAGTCCACACCTCTGCCTACACCTGTTTGGATCTCCTTAATAATAAATGGGTGTCTAGGTCTCTGTCTCCGTCACTAACACTCTGACCTCCAGTAAGTGGAAAGCCCAGGCTGGCTGGGATGCTGCACACCTCCAGCTACATTCCTCCCTGATGGGAAATTTGGCAGAGCCCGACTGATGCTCTGATACCGGCCTCTGATACCAGCCTCCCAGTGGGACACACTTGAGTGGGCCGGCCAGTGATGACGTAAAACTGACCCTGCCGAGCTCAATCCTGGTTACGCTTCTAGTAATAGTTCCTTTCACGTGATTGTCTTTGGTTAGACTTGGCATTGCGGCCCAGGCCTCGGTCACCAAACCTTTTTCACGCAAGATTAGGCAAAATCCTCATGGTGATAGTCTAACAAAGACTTGGATATCTAATTCTTCAGAGATTGCTTTTTTTCCTGAAAGATAAAAGCATGAACTGAGTGAGCATGTCATCATATTATGGTAACATCCTGGCCTCCAGCGGCTCAGTCCTCCACACCACACCAAGAGCCGTCTATCGGTCACCATAGAGACCCCCGGCAGCAGAAAGAGCCTTTGTCCACAGTGTTTGCATGGGGAGAAAGGCTTCTGGGCCAGGGAGGAAAGGAGAGAGGACTCTCACGCCTCAACAAGGAGGCCATGCTGACCCTGAAATACCTACACTCTCACTCAACACACACTGTCAATAGGGCTGGAGTGAAGTGAGAATGTGTAGGTGTGGGCAGAAGTGGCCTGGCCACGGGATTAAACCGCAATTTGTTCTCCTGTACTTGTAGATGTGAAACTGTCAAACAAACGATGAAACAATGGGAATGTAAATGAATCCAGAAGGGCCGAGGCAAGGTTCTGTATAATGAGGTTCTTGGCCATTTGGCTCCCTACAATCCACTGGTTACTCACTGCAGAGGATACCGACAGATTGAGCCTGCTGTTGTACGCTTGTCGGGGCGACTCCCTGTCTGCAGGAGACTTTTGTCCTCAGACTCACAGTGAAGGCCTTGAGGCAGCCCTCATCTTTCCAAGGGTTCATTTTGTCTTCGTTGTTTCACAATGTCTCTTATCACCCAGCTCATAAAAGCCTGGGAGAGAACAATTAATCTGCCTTTATTGATTCAGGAGTCGTGAACGCTGTAAATCACAGTCATGTTACTCGGTGTCACCACAGTTGCTGAAGTTTATTCCATTAGACACTTGTTCCGTTCAGTACACAAGTTGCAGCCTATGAGTGTAATATTTTGTTTCCCAACCACTGAGCCTATCTACAAGGAGCTTTGAGGTCTTACAGTGCTGAAATGAAGAGTGAGTTGATCAATTAGTGGCCCGTGTAGCTCAACCAATGCTGGAAACTGGTGAATGCTTAACAGTGGACAGATAGTGACAGAAACATTGTTTCTAAATTAGCTCAAACTATCATACCATTTCTTTTTATTGCAGTTTACGTATCGGTCGGCATGTATGCCAAATACCCTTATCAGCTCTAGTCAATAGGCAGAAAGTTGATAGCCTTTTGATCGCTAATTAACCATTGAAGTCATTTATCAAGCATAATGCTAAACATATATGGTTCCAGCCTCTCAGATTGTTCTGATTCTCAGTTTAATATCATAGTTGCCTGGAGGTCAAAGGTCCTTCTTAATGGACCCTGCAGATGACTCTTGGTGCACACATGCAAATTCTCATAACGCACACTAGAATGAAAGAGATTTCCATGCTATGTTGCTGGAACTGCACTTTTTAAATGGCGTCTCCTTCTGACTGAACGGAAATGAAAGGTCTTGTTGGTGAGCCTTGTTCAGAGCCCTCAGCACTGATCACATAATTATCGTTATTACCATGTATGTGCTGAAAGGCTGTTAGATGTGCTTGTACGATACACACATAAAGACTGCCAATTAAATGTTCACTTACAATCAGTGTTATTATAAAGCAGCTCTATCTGCTGTTTAAATGAACTGACACATTTTCCCACTGATGGCTGGACGCCTGGGCCATCAGTGGAGA